TGCTGAAAGTGGCAAGGTTGAAAGTGAGTGGTGGATGTGGCAAGAACATACTCTGTGTGATCAGTGTTAGCACCACAAAACCCAACCAAAAAACCCCCCAAAACCCACCAACCCCAAAATCCACCACAACTCCTCAGTGCAAAAGTTAATTCTTCCATGTAAACAGCCCTTGGGATGATTCATGAGAAGTTACTGCCAGGAATGACCAGTTCACCACTACATTAATTATTCAAGGGAGACATAATCTGAGCCTCTTTCTTCAAAGTAACTTCCATAGATGTTACTTTGAAACCCTGATGCTGCAAGATGCAGCCCAAAGAGTGTAGAAACTTCCACCATCTCTGTTGAGATGTGCAACACAAGATGTTAAGTGTTTCTCTGCCACCAGCTCTGGATCATCACACTGCTGTTATTTCCTCTGCTGGGCCACTTACTTTTCCTGAAGAGGTAGATGACTGCAAAAACCAGAACAGTCACCAGGACGCCAGAGATAAAGGCAAGTGATATGTAGAGTATTTGATGGCTGTTGATACACAGAAAATAGTGTCAGAATCCCCAGTTCATCAAACTGGAATATAACATTTATCTCAGTCCCATGAGATTAAAAGATTTGTGTTTGCATTAAGCATCACTATGAATTAAACATCTAGTGCACAGAGTAGGAAATTCTATGCAACCTTTTAAAACCCCAAGACATGAGACATATTACATGTAACTCCTTCTTTACAGAAGGAGTCTGCAGCCTCTGTGTTTGAAGACAGGAAATAAAAGGTGGAACATTTACTTATCAAGCCTGCATTTGACTTCTGAACCTTTGAAGTCAGCTGCAGAGGTGTACACAGTGGTATGTACAGTGACAGTGGTGGAAGTGGGTTCTGGTGTAACTGGAAGTGAAAAGAACAATAATCAAAACCTGGTTTTAAACGGTGTTAATTTCTCCAGTGATACTACAAGCAACAAGAACTGCAGAGTACTCAGTGTTTCTGTAACATTTATCTATCAGAGGGCTGAAAATGGAAACAGCAGACAGAAAAAATCAGTTATTTATACTCTTAGTGTCTCACAGAGGCCTTTGGCATCGATGCAATTCTTCCCCAAACACATACAACCCCTGCTAAGCTACCCCCTAGCAGCTCTTTTGAGTCAGGACAGTATCAATTTAGTCAAGGATATTGCATGTAAGAAAACTCCTCAAAGAAGGAAGTACCTGGATTTACTTTTGAGGATCTCGCTCCCATTCTCTCCAAACACTAATGAACAGTAAGAGAAGCTAAAAGGGAAAAGAAGTTATATTTATACACATATCCTAGAGCAAAACAAACCTGACACCCTCTTCTAACTCACACTTTAATAGTTTTTAATCAATTTTTCAGACATCTTCAACTGGCACAAACCCAGCAATCTCATTGTGTGAATCCTACTTCCCAACACCTTGTTCCCACGTGCACATTCGTTACACTCCAATGAACAGGCTGCCTTCTTTCAAAGACTGGAGTGTATTTCCTAACTAGAGCACCCACATTATTTTTGCAGCAGTTAGAAGTGAGTGAACTTTCAGAATGAGCAGCAGCTCTGAAAAAAACATGTAGACTTTCTCCAACAAGGAATGAACAGTAACCTTCTTAAACTTGAGGGTGGAAATGTAAAGATAGGGAAGTACCAGTCTACTATGAAGTTCCTCCTCCAGTATTACTCACTACAAGCCTTGCAAAGCACACTGTGAGTAACAGTATCACTGGCAACAAAGTAAAAGCAGACATCCTATTCTCTGTTGCTGTCATCTTTTTCTACTGAATGCCCCTTCCTCATTGCATAAGAGTGTAACCATTAAGACCCCTCAGTTTCCCACCCCAAGTCTAAAAGCACATTGTTTCCCTGTAATAAAAGGAAGGCCAAGATCTGAAACAGCTCCATCTTACCTCGCACCATGGAGCTGCTGCCCACCTACAGGTTGCAGAGTCCCGAGGTGTTGGCACTGCAGATAAACCACTTGACTTTGTGAAAGGATCAGTCCAACTAGGCAAAGCCCAAGTGCCATTCGCAGCTGGGGTTACACAAATGCGGAAGTGGAGCAACTTCACCTTTTCTTGTATTTCAAAAAAACCCAGGAAACTGAAAAACATCTGCATTTGGAGGAAGCGTCCACCAAGAAAAAGTCAGCTTCATTTTAAGTGAGGTTCTTACCTCTCAAGAGCAGCTTTTTTGCTGAAATGTTATACTGACAAGTGTAAGAAAACTGCTGTTTTACCAACTCCACTAAAAACAAGCATTTCCTCACTGCAGGACCAATCCATGAAGTGGTATGTAAGCACACCCTAGTCTGCTTCAAGATTATTTACTACATAAATCACTTCCCAGCACAGAGGGTTGACATTGCACGTAGGCAAGTGCTCGCCTCATCTGGGATGTTTGAGATGTAACAAAAGCCTTCAGAGAAAATGTTTTCCATTAAAAAAAATGGAAGGCTTATACTATGTAATACACATGAAACTGCTTCTCTCGTTTCCTACGAATACCCAGGACAAAACCTCACATTCTAGAATGAACTTATCCACTTCACCATTTTCACCCTCATACTGGGGATTTCAGTTGAAGCAAAGTTCTCCCATTGCTTTTGACACATTTCCTGCCAGCTACATCCTCTCTTCTACAGAACAGAAAGACACTTTTCTCACCAGCTGAAGCTTTGTTACAAAAGTGGTGTGGGGTTTTTCAGTTCATTTTTAAAAGGACAGTTGTTCAGAGTACCACCAAGTGAACGGGAGCACGGGTGCTCAGCTGATTTTAGAACATGTTCACAATCACAGTAGCTATCTACAGGTCATTATCACACAGAATTCTACAACAAAAACCGATCACTGTGGTTAGAACCTGAATTTTTCCCTCTCAAGTTCTGTCTCGTATCTCTGAAAGGGCTCATGAACAAAAAAGGAACCAATCAGACCCACACGTACTGACCCCCATGATGAACTAACCATAGTGATTTAGGTGACCAATTCAGCTACTCCAAAAAGGAAACTACTGTTGCTACTGCTAGTAAAAGACAGCAGAGGATTTTGTTTGTTTGTTTAATGATACTTTAGAATTGTACAGTTTCCAACAGTAAGAGACGTTGTCAGTGGAATCGGATGCGGTTACACTGTTGCCTGGGCACTCTTTGATAACGCCTTCAGGTCCAAAATGCATTTTGAAATACTCTCCTTCTGCTGCAAAGGAAAGGAAAACAGCTTTCAGGAGACAGACTTTATGAAAGACATTTAAACAAGTAAAATATTCTTTCTAATGCACTTTAAATACTCCTTTTTCGAACCACAAAGTGGGTTTCAGATCAGCAGGGATATACAGCTGTAGCTCCTGAAGTCAAGAGATTCAAATCCAGTCAGTGACCTGCATTAAAACATCTGCAGGCAGTGCTAGGAGCATGTTTTCTGCCTTTTGTTCTCTGCTTCATTCCTTTGAAGAAAGGTCATCTAGAGCCTATCTGCAGATCTTAAGCTGCCATAGTCTTATACAGAGAATCTGACAAGCAAGTTCCCCATTAGCTATACATCTTATCACAAGCCTAGCTCTATGCTGCACCACTACCACACACCAGCTTAACTCACCAGCAACACAAGCACCAGGTACCGAGTAACTGGGCTTGTAGCTCTTACTCAGCAGCAGGAGTGTGTTGCAGCCTAGTTTGGAAGTCACCCAAAGATGACCTATCATCTTCTGGCTTAAGCCAAAATCACTGGACAACAAATATTTGTACAGACTAAAACGTAAAGCAGATTAAAACCAAGCAAGTACCTGTTGAGGCGTGATGCTCTGAACAACGCTTTTCTCCACCCACTGAATCATGTGTTCTTGTTCTTTCTGACGCTTTAAATTCTGCATAGCCACTTGATAGTCCAGCCTTTTCTTCACTTCATTGTACACCATCAGTAATCTCTCTCGGTAATTAGTTTCCAGCAACATTGCAATATTATTCTAGACAAAGATGATGAAATCAAAGGGTTAACGTTTGGCAAGAACACAAAACAGCAGCAGAACACATTCTATAGCAAAAGTTGCTGGATCTGGCAGTGGAACTGGCCCCGTCTGCAACACACCAAGGGCAAATGGTTCATTACGTGGTAGTAAATTAAGAGGCACCCAAATTACGGAGCAGAGGCTGCAGAGGAAGCGAGGAGCAGGGCTGGAGCTGCGTACCCGCTTCGCGTCAAAGAGGTAACTGCGGCCTTCAACGCGCCACTGCTCCTTCTTCTCCTGTTCAATGGCAGCCTCAAGACCTTCAATAGATTCGTTTTTCACAGCTTGAGCTTTAGCAACTTTCTCCTGAAAAGAAGAAACAAAAAACATGCCTCAGGATGAAAGGAAGCTGCAAGGGAAACAAGTGATCTGTAATTCATTAAGATTTGAGAAATAAACTGGGCATTGCCAGGGTTTGTAGTAACTGCTACAAAGTTAGATTATGGTTTCTTTTGTTACCTCATTAAGTTTGTCCGCAAAAGCTGCTACATCAGGCCCAAATTTCTTTACAGCATAAATGATGACTGATAATATGCAGATGGCTGCAACTGTCTCGTGGTTGACTACATAGATTTCCTTCGAAAGAAAGTACAGTATGAGTCCAGTTCCAAGCATGTAAGGCCCTGAAAAAACCATAAAGCAGCATCATTTGTACAAAGCATAAAGCAGCTCACTGAAGAGGTAGTGACTTACTAGAAGATCACAAAGTACTCTCTTTTACCATCACGAAAAGCAGAAACCCAGTACCACCAATGCTGGGACAAGGACACCCACCAAAGGGGGAAGCAACTTGCAGAATGACTTCTGCTCATTCAGAAGCCGGCAAAAATCTCCATTTAAAGGTTTTGAGGGTCAGCAGATAAATCAATCTTCCTGCAAGGTCAAGCTCATGACATTCCTCTAGCTTATATTTAAAGCTAAAGGAGCAAAAGAGCCAGGAAGCGCTGCACAGGCTTACTCCTCCCAACCTCCTCCTGCATGTTTTTACCTTTTCAGCAGCCAGTAGTGGTGAAGAGAACTAAATCAGCATAACTAACCACACCATTTTTAATGAAGTACACATTCACCTGTAACTCCTGTTTTAGGATACAGGAACTGGAAAAACTCCTCAGGGATCAAACCATAACGCACTTCTCCTCCTTTCTCAGGCAGAGGTGGCAAAGGAGCCAAATGCTGTTTACTTGTATGCAGTGGTCTTGGGGCATGCAATACACTGTAAGTAATTCAAAAGTTTCCATTAAGCATCTTACTTTATAAAATAAACAAAACAAAAGCTCAAAGGAGGTTATTCTACCCCTCTGCTCTCGTGAGACCCCACTTGCAGCACTATGTTCAGTTCTGGTGTCTCCAATATCAGGACATGGAACTGCTGGAGCAAGTCCAGAAGAGACCACGATGCTCAGGGGCTGGAGCACCTCCCGTATGGAGACAGGCTGAGAACATCGGGGCTGTTGAGCCTAGAGAAGAGAAGCGGCGTGGAGAGCTCAGAGCAGCTTCCAGTGTGTGAAGGGGGCTACAAGGATGCAGGGGGTTGGAACTGGATGAACTTTTAAAGGTCCCTTCCAACCCAAACCGTTCTATGATTCTATGAAAACCACTACCCTTAAATGACATTTCCCATTAAAAAGGGAGGCATCCGTCAGACACGCCTCCTTTGACGAAGTGGGTGGGACTAAATAACCTCCAGAGGTTCCTTCCGACCGGAACTAGTTATTAAACCTCCGACATCGATTAGAAAAAGAAAGATAAAACCCCAAACTAACGTTATTTAACCCCAACAAGGGCAGTTCC